CACATTACAAAGAAATCAGAAAGTGGGGTAAAAAAGAAAGTAAAAAAACCTCCCACTATGCATTCCTTTAATAGATAGGTATTAAAGACTCAATACATGCCAGGCTGATGTTACAGTTATCTATTACTATGTAACAAGCTATCTAAAAACTTAGTTGCTTAAACAACCATTTAATTTTGCTCATGATTTTTGTGGGTCAAGAATTTGGGAATGGGGGCGCCTGGGTGGCTCAGTTGGTTAAACGACTGCCTTCGGCTCAGGTCATGATCCTGGAGTCCCGGGATCGAGTTCCACATCGGGCTCCCTGCTCAGCGGGGGGTCTGCTTTCCCCTCTGCCCTCTTCCCTCTCATGCTGTCTCTCATTCTCTCTCTCTCAAATAAATAAATAAAATCTTTAAAAAAAAAAAAAGAATTTGGGAATGGTTCAGCTGGATGCACTTGGCATATGCTGGGCTGATGAGCTGGAGGGTTTACTTCCAAGATGGCAACTTCACTCACATGTCTAGAAGCCCCTTGGCCATTCTCTGTTTCTCTGTCTCTCTGTCTCTCTATGTCTGTTTCTTTGTCTTGCTCTCTCCCTCCCCCTCCCACCTTTCCCCCCACAGAATGTCTTTCTCTGGGTCTTCTCCACTTTCCTTGGATTTCTCACAGCATGGCTGTCTCACAGTACTCAGATCCCTTATGGGATGACTAACTTCACCATGGCAAGTATTCCAAGAAACCCAAGTGGAAGCTTTAGAAGTCTCTGAACATCATTTCCACATTTTCTTAACCAAAGTGAGTCATGAAAGCCCACCCAGATTCAAAGTGAGGGAAGAGAGAGACTTCACTTTTCTGTGGGGGTGTGGCAATGCAGATACAGGGAGGGAAGGACTTGATGGTGCCATCTTGAAGAGAAGCTGCCACACAAAGATAAGAATCTAGATACACTTTCTGTTCTCACAGAAAGAAGGGATGATACAAACAAATAAACAGGTCATCACAATGATATAAAAGGTATACTATGGAACAGGAGCACATTGAAGAAAAACCCAACTCAGACTTGAGAGGTCAAGAAAGAGTGGAAAATATTTAACATGAGACCTGAGCCGAGCTTGAGGTGGTTGTGGGAAAGGGAGGACAGAAGAGATGTGTTCTAAAAGTTGAGAACAATATTCTAGAAGTCCCAGGAGAAAAAGAGAGAAAGAACATTTACACCAAAAAAAGAAAAAAAAAAAAAAAACCCAACCCTGAGATAACCCCAATATGTCAGAACAGCAGGGTGAAAAGATATGAATGTTGAAAGATGAAACTGAAGAGAAAAGAAAAACCCAGAACATAAATCCCCACTCTTTTCTGTGTAAAGGTAGATAGGCATTAAAAATATGCTTTTACAAAAATGGGTCCATGCTGTTCATAAGGTTTTGTGGTACATATTTCATCACTTCATGTTGTGAATATCTTTTCCTTCCCAATAAATAGATTTCTAAAACACTGCTTTAAATAATTACATAGTATTTTTTTATTATCCCTATGTTACTTTATTTAGCCAATCTCTTAGTGCAGGATATTTAGGGTACTTCCAATTTCTTTGTACATTTCTCCTTATAGCTAAATCTTAATCGTTTTTAATAATAATTTTCTAGGGCGCCTGGGTGGCTCAGTTGGTTAAGCAACTGCCTTCGGCTCAGGTCATGATCGTGGAGTCCCGGGATCGAGTCCCACATCGGGCTCCCTGCTCGGCAGGGAGTCTGCTTCTCCCTCTGACCCTCCTCCCTCTCATGCTCTCTGTCTCTCATTCTCTCTCTCTCAAATAAATAAATAAAATCTTTAAAAATAATAATAATAATAATAATAATAATTTTCTAGAGACAGAAATTCTGGCTCAAAATATATGAATAATTTTTTAAGGCTTTTGATACATAGTACCAAATCATTTTCCAGAAATTTCTATTAAGGTTTAACATCCCACAGCAATGTACGAGAGTGCCTATTTCCCTACATACTTTCCAACAATAGGAAAAATCATTCATTTCTAGTTTTTATCAATCTGATGTTTCATTTACATTTCTGTCATTCCTGGGGAGATGGAACTTTTTGACACTGGTATTTCTTTTCTTATGTAGACTTCTGAAGATGATAAACTTACCAAAAATAGATGTGAATAGACCTCAAATTTTAAAATGCTATAAGATGTAATAGACAACATGTAATCCACTGGTAAATTTAAATGTAGTTTGACGATACCTCTGTCTGTCTGTCTTTCCTCTTAAATGCTTCTGTGTTCGAGCTGTTCTGAAATAGTCATGGTGAAGGAAGTCAAGGGTTGTGCCATATCAGAGACCCTGACTAAGTTCAATGCCAGTTATATAGGTGAAGTGGGTTGAGTGGGGGCCTTATTTCATTCATGATAGCTCACTGCCTCCCTCCTTTAATGCATTTAATGATCCTGTGAACTTAATGACTGTTGCAATTAAAGTCGCCCTGCTTAAGCACTGTGAATTACATTATGCTTGTTAGTGGCTGCCTTTGATAAAACATAATAGCAAGTCATCTCTTTTACATCATAACTCATTTTAAATATTGCTTTTCTGTATCTGTCCTTGCCCCGCTGATTTATTACCTGGTACTCCTCTAAGAAGTGTAATAAAAAGAAAGTTAGGTCTTGAGTAATTCTTCCAGTGTCTGGATAAAGAGGCAACTAAGGGGGACACGGCCTTCTGAGTGGTTAGCCAAAATATGAAGATGGACGTGAGGGTGGCACTCAGGAATTAAATTAGACAAGTTATACAAAAGGAAAATATTAGTTTTTTGTGGCCTGTTTGCTCTTCCCTTTGGACGGAAAATCAACAAAGATCAGGTCTCCACCAGGAACACTTGAGATATATACTTATCCAGATAAACCAGGGGAGTGAATCAGAGAGCCAGGAATGGGGACAGGGGACAGAAATGGGCTAGAAATATGGCATGTCTGCTTTTGTCTACTTAACTTTACCAAGGAACATTTTGACATAGATGTGTTACCAAAACTGACAAGAATTGGTTGAAATTGATCAATGTTGATTATTGAGGCCCAAACAAAAAACAAACAAACAAACAAAAACTACCTCAAAAAGCCCTCATGCTGATTTTTTGTTAAGTACCCTCCACCCTCAACCCTAAATCATAAGAACTGTTGTTTTCATTGTCTTCTTCATTTCGCTCCAGGAAACCAAGTCTCAGGCTTTTGGCCATTCAGTCAAGATACTTTCCTGGAGACAAGCCCACAAATGCCTAATGTTCATGTGAATCCATAACCCTTTTATCCAAAATCATAACATTCACATTGTATGCAGTTAAAGTCAGTAAGGTATTAGTTGTATTACATATAACAAAGCTCAATGATTCAGAGTGATTTCACTCTGATTAGCCTCCAATGACAACACAGAATTATAGGTGACTAAATGTCTCTTGGGGTACACCTTCAGGATCATGGGGACCCGTGGAGGATTCTCACCCTGTATATTGTTCTGGTGCTTCCTCAATCAATTGCAAATGGGTCCTCTGTGACATCTCCACACATAATAGAATAAAGGGCGCTCCATTTCACACACCCAGCAAAAGTTCTTGAATTAACAAATATAAAGAGGAGCTCTGTGCAATACCCTCTGCTAACAAAATTACTTGCTGAGAGACAAAGAGGTTTAGTAGAAAATGTACGACCCATGAAACAAGGAGACTGGGGTTTGAGACCCATTTCTGGCACCACCCTGTTATCTCTCTTTAGATGAATTATTTTAACTTCAACAGACCTCAGTTTCTCATCTAGAAAAAGAAGGGTTAGACTATACTATCTCTAATCCCTTTGAGCTCTTACCGTGATTCTACTTGGCTGTTCTGATCACTTCCAATGGGTTTTATGATATAAATTCAGTAATTTTTTTTTCCTTTCAAGATATTTTTTTTTTTCCATGAAGATGTCCATGTTCATTCTGAAGGCATTTCCCCCCTTATGACCTGGAGAAAAGATGACAATAATGACACAAAAGCTTTAGAAGAAATTCAAGTAAAAATAATCATAATCATAAATGGATACAGACACACATAATAGTATATATGTATACACACACACACATACCTTCAGTTGTGAGTCTCTAATTCACTTCAGGCAAAAACATTACTAATATAGTTACACAATGGGCTTAAATCTCCTCTTTCATTTTTAATAAGTGCTTGATTTATTCTTCAATTTTAATATACTTCCTTACATTACTGTGTCTACTAAAGACTGTTTCCTTATAAATTGCTGTAGTAGATATCTTAGATGTGTCAGTTGCCTGAATTCTATTGTTTCTTGGGAAATTCTACTAATAACCACCACAACAATAACTCATACATACTTGCATACCACTTTATGGTTCGTATTATTTAGAGTTAATGTCATATTCATCAGGATTATATTAGTGGCACTAGATCATCAATTCAGAAGATGACATCTATAATTTCACCAAAACAACCTTCTAGAGACAAATGATTAACATTAAATAAGTATCATGTGTTTAAAGCAAGGTTGATCCAAAACACCCTTGAAAAACAAAGCCAGTCAAACAGTTGAAGTAATAAAATATGAACACAATGAAATGGACACTCTAATACCCATTAATGAAAATATATATAATTGTTTCAGTCTTTCTCGAAATAAATTTGGGAAAATGTACCCAGAGGCTTAAAAAGAGTTTGTGCCTTAAATGATTTTTCTTCTATTGTATAACCTAAGGAAAAATGTGAAGCACAAAGATTTTTTAAATAGAGAGATTCATGTACGAATCATTTATAATAAATGAAAATTGTATCTAATCTAAATGAGCAATACAAGGTAATGGTTTACTAAATTATGGTCTCTCTATATGATGGAACATTATGTAGTCACTAAAAATAGATTTAGAATTTTTAATGGCACAGAAAATGCCTCTGATGTTCTATTAAGTGGAAAATGTCATAAAATTATATATTAAAATTTAATCTCAAAAATTTCATACCAGGGCGGAGCAAGATGGTGGAGGAGTAGGAGACCTGGATTTCGTCTGGTCTCAGGAATTCAGCTGGATGGGGATCAAACCATTCTGAACACCTACAAACTCAACAGGAGATCGAAGAAAAGAAGAGCATCAACTCTCTCATCAGAAAAGCGACCACTTTCTGGAAGGTAGGACGTGCGGAGAAGTGAATTCCGGGCGATATTCGGGAGGATAGACGGCGGGGGAGGGGCCTCCGTCGGCCGCTTCTGGCAAGTGATAGAGCCGCGGAGCACAAAATTGGAACTTTTAAAAGTCTGCTCCGCTGAGGGACGTCACTCTGGTGGCTAAGCGGGGGGTGGAACCCTCCGGGACAGTGTGGTCTCAGGACCCTCGGGGTCACAGAAAGACCGGGGGTGCCTGAGGGCGGCAGAGCTCCCAGGGATCGGAGCGGGGAAGCCGGCTGCAGAGGCGGAGCCCAGGCGCGGGCTCTCAGCTCGGGGTGGCCATAAACAGTGATCCTCGGCCCAGTCGGGCCCCTGCTCCTCCAGCAGGGACCCAACAAGCGGCAGATCCGGGGAGACTCACCTTCCTCCCCCAGGAGGAGCTACATGGGAGCGCACCGCAGGGATGTGCTGAGTTGGGAGACTCCACCCGGGGTCGGGTGCCGGAGATAGAAACGCGCGGTCACAGGCCGGGTGAGCACGGAGTGCGGCCGGAGACCGGGGAGACGGGAGTGACTGGCGGCTTTTCTCTGGGGGCTCACTGAGGAGCGGGGCCCCGAGTTCTCGGCTCCTCCGGGGCGGAGATTGGGAGGCCGCCATTTTCACTCTCCGCCTCCAAAGCTGGACGGAAAGCTCGCAGGGAACAAAAGCCCCGGAGAGCAAACGCGAGCAGATGACTTAGCCGGGAGGGGGCAAGGGCGGGGCAATTCCGCCCCCGGCAGAGACATTTGGAAACCACGGCAACAGGCCCCTCCCCAAAAGATCAGCGAGAACAGCCAGCCAAGACCAAGTTCACCGCTCAATGAGAATGGCAGAACTCCAGCGCTAGGGGACTACTGCTCATAGAATTCACGGCTTTTTTACCATGATTCTTTAGTCTTTCAAAGTTAATTTTTTTTTTTTCTTTTTGAATTTTTCTTTTTCCCTTTTTCAACCGACATCTTATCATCCCCTTTTTAAAAAAACATTTTTATTTTTCATTTTTAGAGTCATATTCTATCCCTTCATAGTAGTTACTTATTTTTGGCATATATATATAAGTTGTTCTCTCTTTAAAATTTTGAGATACAGTTTCTTGTAACAGATCAAAATATACCCTAAATCTCTAGTGTATGGCTTTCTTCTAGTCGCCTGCCTGATCACATTCTCTCCCTTTTTTTTCTTTTTTTAAAAATCCTCTTCTTTCTTTTTTCAAATAACTTCTTATCTTATCAATTCCTTCTATAAAATTTTTTATAATTTTCATCTTTACAGTCATATTGCATCCCTTCATCGTATTAACCCTTATTTTTGTACATATATAAGTTTTTCCTTCGTTAAAATTTTGGGAGGCACTTTCTTCTAACAGACCAAAATACACCCAAAATCTAGTGTGTGGCACTGATCTATGCACCAGCCTGATCATATTTGATCATATTCTGTTTTTTTTTTGTTTTGTTCTGTTTTTGTTTGTTTTTATCTTTTTCTTTTTCTTTTCTTTTTTCTTTCTTTCCCTTTCTTTTCCCCCGGTTTCAGGTCTTTTCTGATTTGTTTAGAGTATATTTTCTGGGGACATTGTTACCCTGTTAGCATTTTGTTCTCTCATTCATCTATTCTCCTCTGGACAAAATGGCAAGACAGAAAAAATCACCTCAACAAAAAGAACAAGAGGCAGTACCGACTGCCAGGGACCTACTCAATACAGACATTAGTATGATGACAGAACTAGAGTTCAGAATGATGATTTTAAAGATACTAGCTGGGCTTGAAAAAAGCATGGAAGTTATTAGAGAAACCCCTTCTGGAGAAATAAAAGAACTAAAATCTAACCAAGTTGAAATAAAAAAGGCTATTAATGAGGTGCAATCAAAAATGGGGGAGCTAACTGCCAGGATAAATGAGGCAGAAGAAAGAATCAGTGATATAGAAGACCAAATGATGGAAAATAAAGAAGCTGAGAAAAAGAGAGATAAACAACTACTGGATCACGAGGGCAAAATTCGAGAGATAAGCGATACCATAAGATGAAACAACATTAGAATAATTGGGATCCCAGAAGAAGAAGAAAGAGAGAGAGGGGCAGAAGGTATATTGGAGCAAATTATAGCAGAGAACTTCCCTAATTTGGGGAAGGAAACAGGCATCAAAATCCAGGAGGCACAGAGAACCCCTCTCAAAATCAATAAAAATAGGTCAACACCCTGACATCTAATAGTAAAACTTACGAGTCTCAGAGACAAAGAGAAAATCCTGAAAGCAGCTCAGGAGAAAAGATCTGTAACCTACAATGGTAGAAACATTAGACTGGCAACAGACCTATCCACAGAGACCTGGCAGGCCAGAAAGGACAGGCATGATATCTTCAGAGCACTAAATGAGAAAAATATGCAGCCAAGAATACTATATCCAGCTTGGCTGTCACTGAAAATAGAAGGAGAGATAAAAAGCTTCCAGGACAAACAAAAACTAAAGGAATTTGCAAACAAGAAACCAGCCCTACAAGAAATCTTGAAAGGGGTCCTCTAAGCAAACAGAGAGCCTAAAAGCAACATAGGCCAGAAAGCAGGAACACAGACAATATACAGTAACAGTCACCTTACAGGCAATACAATGGCACTAAATTCCTATCTTTCAATAGTTACCCTGAATGTAAATGAGCTAAATGCCCCAATCAAAAGACACAGGCTATCAGATTGGATTAAAAAACAAGACCCATCGATATGCTGTCTGCAAGAGACTCATTTTAGACCCAAAGACATCCCCAGATTGAAAGTGAGGGGGTAGAAAACCATTTACCATGCTAATGGACACCAAAAGAAAGCTGGGGTGGCAATCCTTATATCAGACAAATTAGATTTTAAACCAGACTGTAATAAGAGATGAGGAAGGACACTATATCCTACGTAAAGGATCTATCCAACAAGAAGATCTAACAATTGTAAATATCTATGCCCCTAACATGGGAGCAGCCAATTATATAAGGCAATTAATAACAAAAGCAAAGAAACACATCGACAACAATACAATAATAGTGGGGGACTTTAACACCCCCCTCACTGAAATGGACAGATCATCTAAACAAAAGATCAACAAGGAAATAAAGACTTTAAATGACACACTGGACCAAATGGACTTCACAGATATATTCAGAACATTCCATCCCATAGCAACAGAATACACATTCTTCTCTAGTGCCCATGGAACATTCTCCAGAATTGATCACATCCTAAGGTCACAAATCAGGTCTCAACCGGTACCAAAAGATTGGGATCATTCCCTGCCTATTTTCAGACCACAATGCTTTGAAACTAGAACTCAATCACAAGAGGAAAGTCGGAAAGAACTCAAATACATGGAGGCTAAAGAGCATCCTACTAAAGAATGAATGGGTCAACCAGGAAATTAAAGAAGAATTTTAAAAATTCATGGAAACCAATGAAAATGAAAACACGACTATTCAAAATCTTTGGGATGCAGCAAAGGCAGTCCTAAGAGGAAAGTATATAGCAATACAAGTCTTTCTCAAGAAACAAGAAAGGTCTCAAATACACAACCTAACCCTACACATAAAGGAGCTGGAGAAAGAACAGCAAATAAAGCCTATCTCAGCAGGAGAAGAGAAATAATAAAGATCAGAGCAGAAATCAATGAAATAGAAACCAAAAGAACAGTAGAACCGATCAATGAAACTAGGAGCTGGTTCTTTGAAAGAATTAACAAGATTGATAAAGCCCTGGCCAGACTGATCAAAAAGAAAAGAGAAATGACCCAAATCAACAAAATCATGAATGAAAGAGGAGAGATCACAACCAACACCAAAGAAATACAAACAATTATAAGAACATATTATGAGCAACTCTATGCCAGCAAATTAGATAACCTGGAAGAAATGGATGCATTTCTAGAGATGTGTCAATTACGAAAACTGAACCAGGAAGAAATAGAAAAACTGAACAGACCTATAACCACTAAGGAAATTGAAGAAGTCATTAAAAATCTCCCAACAGGGATGCCTGGGTGGCTCAGTCGTTAAGTGTCTGCCTTCAGCTCAGGTCATGATCCCAGGGTCCTGGGATCGAGTCCCACATCGGGCTCCTTGCTCAGTGAGGAGCCTGCTTCTCCGTCTCCCTCTGCTGCTCCCCCTGCTTGTGCTCTCTCTCTCTCTCTGACAAATAAATAAATAAAAATCTTTATAAATAAATAAATAAATAAATAAATAAATAAATAAATAAATATCTCCCAACAAACAAAAGCCCAGGGCCAGATGGCTTCCCAGGGGAATTCCACCAAACATTTCAAGAAGAATTAATACCTATTCTTCTGAAACTGTTCCAAAAAATAGAAATGGAAGGAAAACTTCCAAACTCATTTTATGAGGCCACCATTACCTTGATCCCAAAACCAGACAAAGACCCCATCCAAAAGGAGAATTACAGACCAATATCCTTGATGAACATGGATGCAAAAATTCTCACCAAAATACTAGCCAATAGGATCCAACAGTACATTAAAAGGATTATTCTCCACGACCAAGTGGGATTTATCCCTGGGCTTCAAGGTTGGTTCAACATCCACAAATCAATCAACGTGGTACAATACATTAACAAAAGAAAGTAAAAGAATCATATGATCCTCTCAATAGATGCAGAAAAAGCATTTGACAAAGTACAGCATCCTTTCTTGATCAAAACTCTTCAGAGTATAGGGATAAAGGATACATACCTCAATATCATAAAAGCCATCTATGAAAAACCCACAGCGAATATCATTCTCAATGGGGAAAAACTGAGAGCTTCCCCCCTAAGGTCAGGAATGCGGCAGGGATGTCCACTATCACCACTGCTATTCAACATAGTATTAGAAGTCCTAACCACAGCAATCAGACAACAAAAAGAAATAAAAGGCATCCAAGTCAGCAAAGAAGAAGTCAATCTCTCACTCTTTGCAGATGATACTTTATGTGGAAAACCCAAAAGACTCCACCCCAAAACTGCTAGAACTCATACAGGAATTCAGTCAAGTGGCAGGATATAAAATCAATGCACAGAAGTCAGTGGCATTCCTATACACCAACAACAAGACAGAAGAAAGAGAAATTAAGGAGTCGATCCCATTTACAATTGCACCCAAAACCATAAGATACCTGGGAATAAATCTAACCAAAGAGGCAAAGTATCTGTACTCAGAAAACTATAAAATACTCATGAAAGAAATTGAGGAAGACACAAAGAAATGGAAAAACGTTCCATGCTCATGGTTTGGAAGAACAAATATTGTGAAGATGTCAAGGCTACCTAAAGCAATCTACACATTCATTGCAATCCCCATCAAAATAGTATCTACTTTTTTCAAAGAAATGGAACAAATAATCCTAAAATTTGTATGGAACCAGAAAAGACCCCGCATAGCCAGAGGAATGTTGAAAAAGAAAAGCAAAGCCGGCGGCATCACAATTCCGGACTTCCAGCTCTATTACAAAGCTATCATCATCAAGACAGTATGGTACTGGCACAAAAACAGACACATAGATCAATGGAACAGAATAGAGAGCCCAGAAATGGACCCTCAACTCTGTGGTCAACTAATCTTCGACAAAGCAGGAAAGAATGTCCAATGGAAAAAAGACAGTCTCTTCAACAATGGTGTTGAGAAAATTGGACAGCCACATGCAGAAGAATGAAACTGGACCATTTCCTTATACCACACACAAAATAGACTCCAAATGGTTGAAAGACCTCAATGTGAGACAGGAGTCCATCAAAATCCTAAAGGAGAACACAGGCAGCAACGTCTTCAACCTCAGCCACAGCAACGTCTTCCTAGAAACATCACCAAAGGCAAGGGAAGCAAGGGCAAAAATGAACTATTGGGACTTCATCAAGATAAAAAGCTTCTGCACAGCAAAGGAAACAGTCAACAAAACCAAAAGACAACCGACAGAATGGGAGAAGATATTTGCAAATGACATATCAGATAAAGGGCTAGTATCCAAAATCTATAAAGAACTTCTTAAACTCAACACCCAAAGAACAAATGATCCAATCAAGAAATGGGCAGAAGACATGAACAGACATTTTTCCAAAGAAGACATCCAAATGGCCAACAGACACATGAAAAAGTGCTCAACATCACTCAGCATCAGGGAAATCCAAATCAAAACCTCAATGAGATATCACCTCACTCCAGTCAGAATGGCTAAAATTAACAAGTCAGGAAACGACAGATGTTGGCGGGGATGCGGAGAAAGGGGAACCCTCCTACACTGTTGGTGGGAATGCAAGCTGGTGCAGCCACTCTGGAAAACAGTATGGAGGTTCCTCAAAAAGTTGAAAATAGAGCTACCATACGATCCAGCAATTGCACTACTGGGTATTAACCCCAAAGATACGAATGTAGGGATCCGAAGAGGTACGTGCACCCCGATGTTTATAGCAGCAATGTCCACAGTAGCCAAATGGTGGAAAGAGCCAAGATGTCCATCGACAGATGAATGGATAAAGAAGAAGTGGTATATATATGCAATGGAATATTATGCAGCCATCAAAAGGAATGAGATCTTGTCATTTGCAATGATGTGGATGGAACTGGAGGGTGTTATGCTGAGCGAAATAAGTCAATCAGAGAAAGACATGTATCACATGACCTCACTAATATGAGGAATTCTTAATCTGAGGACACAAACTGAGGGTTGCTGGAATGGTGGGGGGTGGGAGGGATGGGGTAGCTGGATGATAGGCACTGGGGAGAGTATGTGCTATGGTGAGCGCTGTGAATTGTGCAAGACTGTTGAATCTCAGATCTGTACCTCTGAAACAAATAATATAATATATGTTTAAAAAAAAAGAAGAAGATAGCAGGAGCGGAAGAATGAAGGGGGGGAAATCGGAGGGGGAGATGAACCATGAGAGACAATGGACTCTGAAAAACAAACTGAGGGTTCTAGAGGGGAGGGGGGTGGGAGGATGGGTTAGCCTGTTGATGGGTATTAAAGAGGGCACATTCTGCATGGAGCACTGGGTGTTATACACAAACAATGAGTCATGGAACACTACATCAAAAACTAATGATGTTATGTATGATGATTAACATAACAATAAAAAATAAATAAATATTTTCATACCAAATAAAAATAGAATAAAGTATCTCAGTATTGTATTAATATTATTATTATTATTATTATTATTATTATCTTCTTCTTTAAGTTTTTTGTAGGCTCCAAATTTGCCAAGTTGGGCATCTGCTACTTTTAAAATCAGAAACAAAATGCCCAGAGACATAAAAAACTAAAATTAAAGATGGTATGTATTGAGAGACCTGGAGTAGCCAGAATGCTCAGAGGAATGAAATGTTTTGGTAGATTTCATGTTGTGACAAACTACAAATTAATTAAGAATCCCTTTCTGATTCTCTTTGGTGAGACTCATTAGCCAACAATTGTTTTCTGAATACCTACTGCATCCTTGATTCGGGGCACTGAACACTATTGTCTGGCCCAGACCAGGTACCTTGCAGAGATTCTGAATCACTACCATTTGATGAATGCAAATATGTATCAGGCAGTCTGGCGCTGGGCAGTGGGGACGCCAAGTGAAATAACACCGAGCACCCTGCCCTGGCAGGACTCACAATACTATGGAAGAGATCCATGCAAATTCACTCTGAAATACAGGTGCAAATGTTATACTAACAAAGGAAATGAGGTTCTGCAGAACAACTATGAAAGAAGTAATTTCTCCTGGAGAACTCAAGACAAGTCTTCACAGAAGACAAAAGGGAGCCTTGCAGAATGGACAGGATTGTAGCAGACCACAGAAGGAGAACCTTCCTACCCCACCTCTGGCTGAAGAACTGGATGGACAAGAGCACAGAGGCAGGAGGAAAGCCAGGGCATGTCTGGGTTCAAGAAATCAAGAAGCGATCCTCCTAGAAAGAGCGAGGGGTCTTTTGCGGGGAGTGCCGGGGGCATGGTTTCTCAAAGGGCATCAGTTCACTTTCTAAAACAGTAACCAGTGGTCATAACCGAGTCTTTGCTTAATTACTGTAGAGATTTGGGTGCCTGGACCATCCATGGGGATTAAAACCACAATATACTTCATAAACGCACGTGTCAAACACATAAGATACTGTTCTAAATAACAACTGTAATCCCTTACCTTTGTATAGCACCTTTCCATTTACAAAGCTTTTCCCTGAGGTTTATTTCATCTGCTCTTCACAGACACCCTATGAGACAAGCATTTTTATCACCACTTCGACGATAAGAAAACACACTCACAGACATCCGATGGATCATCCCCATTACACCGCGTGTAAGTGACAGTTAGTTTCAAATATTCTAACTCCATTGCATTTCCCTCCGCACCGCAGCTGCCTTTGACCCAGGGACACACCCTCGCAGCCCACTCCTCTTGTCCCTCCTTCCAAATTTCCTTTTAATCATTGTCATGGTCTTCTTTCCTCTTGGATTATAAAGTCCAGAGGGTTCTGTTTAGACTGGGTCTGGATTCTTCAAAGCAATTTCCCACTTTCAAAGTGCTTTCACACCTCATTTATCCTTACAACTTCTCAGGTAATTCCGACAAATTGAAAACTTTACTTTCGTCTAAATACAGGGAGGACAGAATGGGATGCGGAGGGGGTGGGAGCAGGGAGCGGGGCAGGAGGGAGCAGCTGATTTACTTGACGCTCTCTCGCCTTCACTCTGTGCTGCCCGACTCGGGCAGAAAGGGCCCAAGGTTCGAGAAAGTCCTTGCACTTTGGTCCTTCCCAGGTTGACAGACTCCTGGAAATGTACATGGTATAAAATCTCTCTTTACACATTCCATTTTTGTCACACCACTTTTACTACCAAAGGCTCTCTCAACATTTGGTTCCATAAGAAAAACTGTTCTGTCATATAGTTTCAAGTAATCCTCACACTTCTAAAATCGAATATGGCTGCCAACTAATATTGCAAGAACTAAATAGATGACATCTGGAAAGAAGAATTTTAAAACCCACTGTTTCATTACCCCCACCTGTGTCTTTCCAGGCAGCAGTGAAAAGGAGAGGTGAAGCAGCAAAGCAATTCTCAGAGACTCCGTTTGGAGGAAAAGAGGGAGGAAGGGGACATGTTAAAAATTGGATTTATCATCTGTCTCTGTTGTCCTGATTCACCAGATGCATTTCAAACACTTAGGGTAAGGCAGAAGGTTGCATATTCAGCCAGTGAGGGCAGGATGCCTTTATAGCCAATTGTCTCCCCAAAATACAAAACCTATTGCCTAAAACATCAGGCTGGCTGTGGAATTGAGCTCGGGTTTAATGAACAGAGAAATCAATGATACTTACTGAGCATCTCCGATGTCCCTGCTCTGGAGAAAACAGGGCACAGGGTAACTTTGTGCAAAACATTTAATACTTCCGACTCCAGGCTACCCTGTCTGAGAAATTAGGATACTAATAATACTGGCTCTTCCAAACTGACAGGCTTATTGTAAAGCTCAAATAAGGTAATAGATGTGGAAGGGATTTGTAAGCTCTAAAGTGCCAGGGAAATGCAAAGTAACATTATTACACAATGAACCAGTAGGTCTGACCCCTGCTCAGAAGGAGCTTGCAACCTATCTGGAGGAACAAAGCATCAACATATCAAATGTAAGTACCAGCATAAGGATTACATTATAGGAAAGACAACATGACAAGTGGTTTGGCAAGATAATATGCAATTATTTGCAAGGGAGAGGTACAGACAATGAGATTTATGAATTTAAAATAGGTAGCAATCTCAGTGAGCTGGAGTGATGTGGACAGGCTTTGTGGCAGAAGCAACTCTGGATCTGGCCTTGGACGGTGAGTAGGTTGAGCAAAGAGCATTCGGTATCATTCCTGCGGCATGCCCGAGCTCCTTGCCCAGATCCAGGTAAAGACATGCTGAGATAGAATACACACCACTCCTGCATGTGGTCTACTGTCTGAGGCCCACTGAGGTAAGACAAAGTGAGCTTCAAAAGAAGTCCCTGAAAAAAGGAAGGAAGGAAGGAAGGAAGGAAGGAAGGAAGGAAGGAAGGAAGGGAGGGAGGGAGGATGGATGGAAGGAAGGAAGAGGGAGGGAGGAAGAGAAAGAAAGAAAGAAAGAAAGAAAGAAAGAAAGAAAGAAAGAAAGAAAGAAAGAAAGAAAGAAAGAAAAGAGGGAGGGAGGGAGGAAGGGAGGAAGGAAAGAAGGAAGGAAGAAAGAAAGAAGAAAAGAAAGAAGAGAGAGGGAGGGAGGGAGGGAGGAAAAGGAAAGAAAGAAAGAGAAAGAAAGAAAGAAAGAAAGAAAGAAAGAAAGAAAGAAAGAAAGAAGAAAGAAAGAAAGAAAGAAAGAAAGAAAGAAAGAAAGGAAGGAAGGAAGGAAGGATGGAAGGAAGGAAGAGGGAGGGAGGAAGAGAAAGAAAGAAAGAAAGAAAGAAAGAAAGAAAGAAAGAAAGAAAGAAAGAAAGAAAGAAAGAAAAGAGGGAGGGAGGGAGGAAGGGAGGAAGGAAAGAAGGAAGGAAGAAAGAAAGAAGAAAAGAAAGAAAGAAAGAAAGAAAGAAGAGAGAGGGAGGGAGGGAGGGAGGAAAAGGAAAGAAAGAGAAAGAAAGAAAGAAAGAAAGAAAGAAAGAAAGAAAGAAAGAAAGAAAGAAAGAAAGGAAGGAAGGAAGGATGGAAGGAAGGAAGAGGGAGGGAGGAAGAGAAAGAAAGAAAGAGAGAAAGAAAGAAAGAAAGAGAAAGAAAAGAGGGGGGAGGAAGGGAGGAAGGAAAGAAGGAAGGAAGAAAGAAAGAAGAAAAGAAAGAAAGAAAGAAAGAAAGAAAGAAAGAAAGAAAGAAAGAAAGAAAGAAAGAAAGAAAGAAAGAAAGAAAGAAAGAAAGAAGAGAGAGGGAGGGAGGGAGGGAGGAAAAGGAAAGAAAGAAAGAGAAAGAAAGAAAGTCCCTGGACATTACCATAGGAATTTAACTTGGAATTGTTTGGCTGCCGCAAAACTAACAACCACCCAGACCCTCCTACTCTTCTTCACCACACCCTTCTCATTCATATTCGTCTCATCTGTTTACCTGCAACGAGAGGGGTCTCACAGGAAGAGAATACAGTCATCCTGCACTGTGTTTCCGACCTGAGGCAATCACAGTGTGGTGCACTGTGGTTGGCAAATAAATTCCAAGTGGGAAACCCGTAAGCAAAGAGAGAGAAAAAACAAGAGATGTTTCTCATTTCAAAACCATCCACTTAGCTCTGACTGTGTTAGAAGTCTTTTTATTTATGAGGATGCACTAGATCACAGGCTAAGTGGGGGAGGCGGTGAAGTGTATCTGAGTTGCTTAGAGCAAGGTGCTAATGCGACCAAGTTCAGAGGTTTAATCTCCCGCCCATTCACTTCACCGACCAAAAAGCCTCAGTGGCACTTTGCTGGATGTGGGATGCAGTAGAATCTCATCCAGCATCTGCACCCACTGGTGCAAAGTGTGGGTTGTGACATAGTTCAGAACAAGTTGCAAATGGCTCACCCAACACATTTGCCATGGCTAGACACCTGGACAGTGAGTCAAAGCCCGAGGCGCCATCCCGTCCCTACTTCCCTCCTCCCAGGTGCTTTCACCACTGGTCCCGTCCCTTTCATACAGTATGGTAGAAACAATTCCCAGTCCATGTCTGTGCTCAAGCTCCCTCTCCTGCCCTGAGTTTTTCCATTTTTCTCCTGCACAGCATGGACCCAAACCTGCTTCCTCCCCAGGGCCCTTCCTGGTGCCCCGATTTTCATGGCGTTCCCCCGTCTGAACTCCTGGCATGCTCATGACGCTTTCCATTTTTGCCCTTGACCTTGGCACAGTACTTTGTATGTAGTAAGCTCCTCTTTAAATGCTTAAGAAATAAATTCCAATTGCATATGGTAGAGTAGGGGGTGGCTAGCAAGAGCAAGATAAAAACTGCTTTGGGCTTCTCTGTTTGGGGTATAAACACCTTGTCTTCCCAAACAGCACATCAGAAACAGCATCGGGGATAGTAATGGAAATGGTAACCCTAGGAGGCAGAAGAGTAATGGTGTTAGCCCTTGATTTCTTAATAATATTGGACAGAAGGAAAACATCTGGCTCTAAATAGAGAAGAACTAACTATATAATGGAAGCCATTAACCTAAGTCATTTGAGTCAATAAACTAGACAGAGACACATACAGATCGTTGAGGCATCAAAATGAGAGAATCATCATCCCCTGACCCTATCCTTTTTTTCTCTTCTCCACAATCCAGTGAGTCCCACAGATCTCGTTCATTCTCCCTCTAAAATGTTCCCCACATTTATCCCCACCTTTGAATCACCCTCAAGCCCTAGGCATATCTTTGGTGGGACAAACCTGGAAAATTCTCTTGACCTGAAACTCCTGGAAATTTTTTTTTCTGAATCGTGGTCTTCCTTTGTTTTAGCAACACCGCCCAGAACACTCTCTCCTTAGGTCTCCTTTAACATCACCATAGTGCCTTCAAGCAACATGGTAAGAGAGAGGGACGCTGGATTAGGCATCCAGCTTTATATGAGCTTTTCATTCCACCTCATCTGCTAATTAATTAATGGCGTGACTTTCATGAAGACATTTTCTCTCTCTCACTGGGTCTCAGTTTCCTTTCCTACTGTCAACTTGGGAGAAGAAAAAAAAAAAAAAAAAAAAAAAGCATCCGGAGAAGCCTCCAGGAATAAAGAAATTTCGAGCTGGTCTTCTTCCAGAAGATGCTCTCTATGGAACTTGGAGCTCTAACACTCAGGCTCCAGAGCTCCATCCTCTCTTCCCTGCTCGCTTGATTTCCCACTCCTCCCCCCCTCCGCACATACCAGTACCAAGCCTGACCAGAGCCTCAACATTTGATTAGAATTTATTTCCATTATTACCTCTGTGTGAAGACTTCCTACCAGAAAGAGAAAGGGTGAATATAAAAGACCTATTTCCTTTCCATTGTGTTCTCCCCCCTCCCCTTTATAGTGAAAATGGCCTATTTGGAGAAGCCAAAATGCTTTGGAATTGAATTCACCAAAGTAATATCACAAGGTTTTAATTTACAGTTTTGGGTCTCCAGGCCCCTGCATATGAGTTCTATAAATGAGACGTGTTGCTACAATAAAGTCCCATTGGGAGAGGCTGGGCTTAGACTGAGAACAGCTGTAGAGCTATAATCCAACAACGTCAGCTTCTGAATCAGATATGAATTATTGGTTCAGTCACAAAGCTATGGATATGTTTTCCCCCACAGGCACTCACATATGGCCTTTGGCATAAATGAAAATATCTTTTCCCTCCTTCACTGGGTCTGGTTAATAATGAACCTTTATTCTGAATACTTTCTTATGTCTTAACTTCCTTTCTCTTTGTTCTCGTTCTGATTTCCTCGTCAAGGCCTCGAACAGCCCCCCGTGCAAGGTGAGTTGAACAGCTCTCGTGAACTATTTCGAGCTAACCATGGCCAAGACATCCAAGAGAGTGGTTCTCGGCCTTGACTGTACCCTGGGAACATGGGAGGATAGTTCCAAAATTCCAGGGCCCACGCTGCGCCCCAGGCCAACTAAATTACAAACTCTGGGAGTGGGACCAAGGCGTCAGTAATTTTTAAGCACTGAAGTGATTCCAATATGTAGTCAACATTGAAACCACTGCCTTACAACCTGTTCTAAGACATGAACAGCCTTTCTCTTGATCCTCTAACAACGTGTAGGAAATCCGGGTACAAAAGACTTCTTACTTGAAGTTGCAATTTATCTTCAGATACTAAAACCAAGACCTGTCCTCTAAACCAAGGCGTGTCACCAAAACTTCAAAAAATGAGAGTAATATGAAACTGATGAATTGTCGAACACTACAACAAAAACTTACGATGTACTATATGCTGGCTAACTGAACATAATAAATAAAATAAAATAAAATAAAATAAAATAAAACAAAACAAAATAAAACAAAACAAAATAAATTTACTCAACAACCATACCTTCTCGAGCGTCAGCTTTCGGAGGCTCGAAGCGTTTGGGTGTGAAGGCTGGAGGCTAGCAGGGAATAATGAAAAAGGTACAAGAGCTGAATTGCAGGCAGGCTGGGGATGCAGAAGTATGTTTCTAACACTACTCTTCCTGGGGAACAGTCCATTCAAAGCCGGGGGTTTCATTTCTTCATTTGCAAACTGAATTCGGAGGTGGGTGAAATACAGCCTTTAAATGGTTTCCTCCACCATTCCCCGAAGGTCATCAGATTGATCAAAAATATGTAAAATGTTATCCTTTGTTAAACACTGCCCATTTAGGTACCATCTTATGCCCTAAGTAATAAAAATAATAATGATAAATAAATAAATTCTGCCCTTTCCAGAACTGCCAAATATTTGGAGAGAAAACTAGAGGGAATTTGGGGGGAATCATCCAGGTGCAGGATCTTCACCTTGACATTGGACAATAGAATAACAGAACCACCAATCTTGTCATCTGAGCCATTCCAAGATCAGAAATCTTTCCGCCCTGGTAGGAAACCCAAATCCCCCGAGGCTCTTCTTCTTCCTCCTCTGTGAAAGACTGAGCTCACATACAGGTTTCTACATGACTACCTTTCAGCTACCGTTAGTTCTGAATCCTTCAGATTACCTTGGGCATGACCCACTCGTAAGCAGTTACTTTTGCCTTTTTCTGAATAATAAATAGATTGTGTTAAAAGGGGAGATATCATCAGGCACCTAGGTGGTTCAGTCGGTTGAGAGTCTGCCTTCAGTTCAGGTCCTGATCTCAGGGTCCTGGGATGGAACCCCGCGTCGGACTCCCTGTTCAGTGGGGAGTCTGCTTCTCCCTCTGCCTCTCCCCCCACTCGTGCTCTCTCTCTCTAATAAATAAATAAAATCTTTTAAAAAAAGGGGGGGGAGGTGAGATATCATGCTCTCCTGCCTGACTCACTGGGATGATTCATGCTGGATTCCTCTCTCTACCTTGACCTTCACATACAATTGTTTCTCTTAGTTCTGCTTTTTAATAATACCTTGAATCTCTT